TGGAACCCCGTGACATACTTCCTCAGTGATCAGAGCCTGGAACCCCGCGACATACTTCCTCAGTGATCAGAGCCTGGAACCCCGCGACATACTTCCTCAGTGATCAGAGCCTGGAACCCCGCGACATACTTCCTCAGTGATCAGAGCCTGGAACCCCGCGACATACTTCCTCAGTGATCAGAGCCTGGAACCCCGCGACATACTTCCTCAGTGATCAGAGCCTGGAACCCCGCGACATACTTCCTCAGTGATCAGAGCCTGGAACCCCGCGACATACTTCCTCAGTGATCAGAGCCTGGAACCCCGCGACATACTTCCTCAGTGATCAGAGCCTGGAACCCCGCGACATACTTCCTCAGTGATCAGAGCCTGGAACCCCGCGACATATTTCCTCAGTGATCAGAGCCTGGAATCCCGCGACATACTTCCTCAGTGATCAGAGCCTGGAACCCCGTGACATACTTCCCCAGCGAGTCCACTCTTAATCCTCTCCAAACAGTGCCACCAACTGAGGAACGAGGGTTCACATATCTGAACCTATGGAGAACCGTCTCATTCAAGCCTCTATCATAAGTGAATGAAACTGTAATTGATTGTAAAAGTTTAAAACTAACTGAAGCTCCTTGGCTCCCAAATGGCCATCAAACAGTGAAGATGTTCACCAAGATAAATCATCGTGAGGACAGAAATCACATGATCATTTCAACAGATACAGAGGAGACTTGACAAAATTTAATGTGTTTTCATAATAAAAGTCTTGACGTATTTAGGAACAGATAGAACATTCTGCAAACTAATAAATATATATGACAAACCTATTAATAATAGTATACTAAACAAGAGAAACTTGAGACCATTTCTTATAAAGTGTGGAATAAAAAGATATCCACATTTTCTACTCATATTCAAAACAGCTTCTGAAATCTTGGCCAGAGCAGTTAGACAAAAGAAAGATATACCAGGAATAAAAATAAGGAAGGAAGAAATCAAATTAACTGTTTCAAACTGACATTCTATAATATTAACTATTAAAAGCCCTTTTAGAATGTATCAAAAAACTCAGTTAATAAGAATTTTCAGTAAGTTGCAGCATACAAATCCACATACAAAAGCAGTCACTTTCTTACATAGCAGCAATGAGATTGCTGAAAAGGAATTAGGAAAAAATTCCCTATTTACAGTAGCTCTGGGGGTGGGGGTGGGGAGGGAGTTGTACCCAGCAATAAACCTAAGCAAGGACATGGACGACTTCTACAAGAGGTCTTTAAGACACTGATAGAAAATGCTAGATATTAGACCTTCCGGTGGAAGAATACCGCACAAGTGCTTGTATTACTATAAGTAATCTATAGCGTCAATGCAATTCCCATCAAAATTCTGATGGCATTCTTCACAGAGCTAGAAAAGAAAACAATACAAGAATTCATATGGATTAGAAATAGCCATCTAAGTCTGAAGAGAGAACACAGCGACAGACATCACACTGCTTGGTTTCCAAACACACTACAGAGCTGTTAGGGCACACGCAGCCTGGTAACCACAGAAAACAGACATAGGCTGGTGGGGCAGAATAGTGGCCCCAGAAATAAACCCAATCACTGTGACCACCTAATTTTTGACAAAGGCTTTAAAAACACGGAGATGGGAGAAAAAGACCAGCCTATTCAAAAAATGGTGAGGGGAAAACCAGTTGTCTCACTGCAGATGAAGTTAGATCCACATCATTGCACCCTGTACAAAAAGCAACTTAAGTGATCAAGGTTTTAATATAAAACCTAAAATACTGAATATGCTAGAGGAAAACACTTTGAAATATAGGTTATAGGAAAACTTTCAAAACAGAGCTCGATGACCACAAGGAACACACCCTCCCGAATTAAAACATGGAACAGTGTGAAATTAAATTTTTTTCTGCATAGTAAAACAAGATATCATACAGGTAAACAGTCCACAGAATAGGATTTTTGTCACTTGTGCGCCACATAAGGAGCTAATATCCAGAAGTGAAAAAGAACTGTAAAAATTAAAGACTGAAAAATCAAAACCAACTAATTCATAAGCTAACGAACAGTTAGTTCTCAAAAGAAACACAAATAGCCAGTGTTATTTTTATTTCTTAAAGGAAATGATGTTTATTAATGCACAAGCCACAGACCTGACAGGATTTTTATGTGTCATTTGTTACTTAAGTGAAAAATGTAAGTACCTTTTAAATATATATTTTGCTAGGTCCACTTTATGGCTAAATAAACTAATTATAAGAAAACTCCTAGATCATCCACTCAATTTATTCCAGGAATAATCACTGGAAATTTACCAATAAGGTTTTTTTTTTTTTAATGTTCAACATCCCTAGCCATCAAGGTAATACAAATGAAAACTGCTTTTGCATATCATCTCATATCAGTCAGAATGGCTATGATACAAACAAAACAAAACAAATAAACAAATACAAAGCCCCCATAGGACACCACCAAACACTGCTGAAAATGTGGAAAAGAGAAACCCTTACTCATTGCTGGTGGGTGTGCAAACTAGTACAGTCATTATGGAAATCGGTGTGGAAGTCTCTCAAAAAAAATTAAATGCAGGTCCCAGATGTCCCACTCCTGGGCATATACCCAAAGGCCTCCATGTCCTACCCACAGAGATAGGAGTACATCCACGTATATTGCTGCGCAATCCACAATAGCAAGGAAAAGGAACCAGCTTAGCTGCTCATCAATTGATGAATAATGAAATGTGCATACACACAAGGAAATTTTAGTCATCTAGAAATAAAAATGAAATTTACAGAAAAAAAATAGATGGGCTGAAAAGTACTATATTAAGAGGAGTGACCCAAACTAAAAAAGACAAAACTTCATGTTCTCTATCATACGAAGATCTTAGCTCGTAATGTCTATGAGTGAAGCCTTAAAAAAGCCAAACTAAACAAAAACAAACAAATGAACTGACAAACAAACAAAAGCAGGGAAGGAACTAAGAGAGGGTAAAACGGAATGCTGAATGTAGACAAAGGAAAGCTGACAGGAGCTGGGCCGGGAGGACAGGGTAGGGGAGATGAAAGGAGCAGGAGGAGAATCAACTAAAATTTTGTTTGAAAATGTTGCGATGGTAACTAAGATTTGTATGGCAACTAAAAAGAAAAATCATTACAACAGACACCAAAGAAATTCAGATTATTAGAACATACTTTGACAGCAACCTGGAAAATCTAAAGGAGTGATACACTCCTATACAACCATAGCCTACCACCATGAAACCAAGAAGAAGAAAAACAACTTAAACAGATACGTGACAGACAAGCAATGAGGCCAAAGTGATAAAGTCTCTCGAATCCACATACCACAGGCTCCAAAGGATTCCTTACTGAATTCTCCTAGGTTTTTAAATAATACCTGTGCTCTTCAAACCATACCAGAAAGGAGAAAGAAAAGAATGCTACCAAATTCATTTTATGAAGCCAATACTACTCTGATACAAAACTAGACACTGGCAAACCAAATTCAATACACATAAAAAAGACAAGTCACTATGATGAAATTTATTTAATTCCACAGTTCATTAAGTATGCAAATCAGTAAGTGTAATACATCATTACATAAATTAGAGTCAAGGACAGAAACCATATAAACATATTAATCAATGCAGAATTTGACAAAGCTCAACATTCCCTACATACAACACCCTGAAAGAACTAAAAATAGGTGAAGCATATACCAGCAATAAAGGGTGTATACATCAAACCTATAGCCAATATTATACTAGATGAGAAAAACAGCATTTCCTCTAAAACCAGGACCACGACAAGGGGACCACTTTCATGACTCTTGTTCAATATAGTCCTCAAAATCTTAGCTAGAGCAATAAGGCAAGAGAAAGAAATTAAAGTCCTACAAATGGGAAAGGAAGAGTTAAAGTGCCCCAGTTTGTAGATAACATGACCTTGTGCTTAAAAGAGTTTCAACAGTGAGGGGGCTCAGAGGGTAAGGACACTTGTTGCCAAGGCTGACATCGATCTCCAGAAGCCACAGGGTGGGAGGCGAGAACCCACACCAGCAAGTTGTCTTCTGACTCATGAACACTATGGCAAGTATGCAACTCCCACACATATTAAAGAAAGAAGAAGTGTAAAATATGAAAAAGACTTAAACAGTCCATCAAAACCTCTTAGAACTGAAAATCACCCTCATCAAAATATTAGAATATAAAATCAACATGTAAAGGACCAATAAACTTCCTCTATAACAATAACAAGCATGCTGAGAAAAAAAATCAAGGAAATAATCTTATTTACTAGAAATGCAAAAAAAAAAAAAGCAAAATATGGGCTAGAGAGATGGCTCCAGGTTCAATTCCCAACACCCATATGGCAGCTCGCAATTGTCTATAACTCCAGTTCCAGTGGCACCAACACCCTCACACAGCCACACATGCAGGCAAAACACCAATGCTCATAAAGTCTTTTATAAAAAGCAAAACATATTGGCAAAAGCCTAACAAAGGAAATAAAGAATTTTTCAATGAAATTTTAAACACCTAAGGAAAAAACTGAAAATGACGCTAGAAGGTGGAAATACTTCCACGCTCATGAATCGCCAGAATTCACACTGTTACCACCTATCTGATCTTAAAAAGGATGCCAGATACAGTGATTGGTAGAAATGCCACTCCTTCAACAAATGGCACTACGAAAAAGCTGGACAGCGACAAGGAAAAGAATGGTAATTAATCCATCTGTCTCACTCTAAAAGAGAGAGAGAGAGATTGAAACTATAGGCACAGGGGACTGGAGAGACAGCTCAGAGGTTAAGAGCACAGGCTGTTCTTCCTGAGTTCAATTCCCAGCAGCCACATGGTGGCTCACAACCATCTGTAATGAGATCTGCTGCCCTCTTCTGGCGTGTAGGCACACAGGCAAGTATACATGATAAATAAAATCTTTATAAAAATATCTAACACCTTTGGGGCTAGAGATTGTTCAGTGGTTAAGAGCACTGGCTGCTCTTTCAGAGAACCCAGGTTCAATTCCCAGCCCCCACATGGCAGCTCACAAATGTTTGTAACTCTAGAGTCTTACTCAGACTTCCTCAACAAGTGCCCCGTTTGTCTGCACCACCCCACACTGTACAATCATACACACAGCCTGGGGCTCCTCAAAGCACCCTCTTTCCTGCATGTCCCAAGGGACACACTGTCCTCTGTGGCTGGGATGTCTTTCTCACTCACGCCCTCCATTGCTTGAGCTGTGTTGTACTCCCTACGGCACAGTGGCCATCACTTTCATCAGAATAGCCATGTCTGCTTACCTCAAGATTGCGCTTTTAGATTGTTGACATTCTTTCCCAGAAGGAGGAGGTGGGAAAAGGAGGAACTGGGCCCTCACTCGTAATTCAGTGACTTTCTCCCACACCCCCATAACTATTGTGTGTAATTCTGCCCTAATTACATATGGTCAAAGCAGATGTTATACTTATGTGAAAAAAATCTACAAAATCAATCACAATGAATAAATGTCAGCAAAGTATTTGTATTTTAAAAGTAAAAAGAGGGTCTGAGGTATCACTTAGGTGGTAGACTGCTTGTCTTGCATGCATGGGACTCGGGCTTAATATCCACCATGGCATAAACTGGGAATAATGGTACATGCCTCTAATCCCAACACTTGGGAAGTAAACACAGGAGGATCAGGTGTTTAAGGTAAAAGTGGGTTACATGAGACCTTGTGTCCAAAAACTCAAGAGGGAAGGAGAAAGAACAGAAATGGGAAAGGAGAGGAGGTCAAGGAGGAGGAAGCAATGCTCCCAGTAGTACCTGTAATAATCACTAACGGTACATTTATAGCAGAGGTGGAGCAGTGCTAGAAGACGTGTGTTCAGTCACCTGAGGAAACACAAGTATACCCATGGCTCTTCCAAGGAGTAAAACAACAAATCTGTATCCCTTACAACTGGGGCAATTTGTTATCAAGCAGAACACGTAGATATGGCTCAGGTTGAAAATACAGTGTACAGTGACAAAGACAAAAATGTACAGAAATGGCCTCAAATCTCCAGTGAGTCAGAAGCAAGTTCTTTCTGAGAAAGCTTTCTCAGGAATGATTAGCTGAAACACAGAATATTAGCTTAGAGACTGGACAGAAACAAAACGAGCTTTCAAATTAACCAGATTTTAATTTGATTTTGTGGAAAATGTGGACACGCAATCAGGCCACTTTCTTTTGTGTGTATTGCCAATGAGTTCCATACAGTGCGGACATAATTAGACAGAACCTGCGAATATGAAATGCTTTCAAATTCACTAATCTTTTCAACATGGTTACTGAAGAAAAATCTTTCTCACCGATCATTTAACTCACAAAAATGCATTAATAAATAAAACTGAAATTAGAATCTATAGTTATTTAAGCAAAATCACTGCGAGTCTGTTGTCTTCTGTTCTGAAACCAACTTTAAAAAGTAGTCCCATTTCAATGATTTAACAGTGTTTTCAAATAGAGACATACTCTAGCCCTGCACTAAGGATTAACACACCGTGGGACTATTTTACAGGTTCCTGAAAATCAAATCAAGTAATTACTATCCAGTAATATGTTATAACCATACACATCTTCTAGTGTCTGTCAACGTTCAATTTTATTGTTTACATTCAAAAAACACTATAGAAGTGAAACGTGATAAAAACACAACCATTGCCCCCAAAATAATATCAAAATACTATCCTTCAAGTTCATAGTTCATAACAACTTCACAATCAACACTCAAAACAGTACAACCATGGTATTTGTGAACAGTCTTGACAGAAAGCTGTATTTTGGTACATTAAGGCAGCTTCAGTCAACATTCTGAATAACAATATTTACTAAAACAAAAGACAGTTTTGATATTTAGATATTTGAGGTTTCCAGGAAACTTTAAGCATCTTACAATAAGAACACTATAATTTATGGAACTGTGTCTTAAACATTCTTAGCACTATGTTCTTATTACATATGACACCTAAAAACGAGATCCTCATCCTGTCGGTATCAAGGTTGTCTAGTAAAAAAGCCAAGACTGAGGCTGAATGTGTGACTATAAACCCCACTTCCAGGTTTTCAAACAGCTTCTCACACACATCTGTGAGGTAGGTTATTATCCACATTTTGTACAAGAGAGAACTACACAGGGTCACATAGCTGTGCTGCGATAGGAGCAAACAGGGAATTCGATTTCAATTAGACTCGGTCTTCAACTCTGCGTTTCTTTCTTTTATATACTTTAAAACATAAAGATTGCTAGTAGTTGCATTCATTTTTAAAAGCACAAGAAAGTAGCCAAATGTTTGCCCAGGTGGCTTTTAAAAGTGTTATAAATGAAACAGAAACTCTATTCAGTGAAAAACTTCTAGTGTGATGGTGTGAGGTTTGGTCAAGTGGAACTGAAGAAGCAGAAGCAAACCACGTGACCTTTTGTGGGGCAGCTCACAGGGAAACAGAAAACTCAAAAGAAAATGGAGTTTGATTGTGTGTTTGCTTTAATATGCTTTTTCTCTGCAGTTATTTGAGAAGGCACCAGGAACTGTTTCTTTCTTTGTGTAGACTGTGGATCTATGTCTCTTCCATTTTTGGAAAATGTTCTCCATCTAGAAAAATTGGCTTCATTTGGTAACAAATACTATTTACAAGAGACTTTTAGCTGTGAAAATGCACATTCAGATTAATAAGAGAAAAATAAAAATGCAATTCTTCTTTCCTAGGAGGCTTCTGTTTTCCTTAAAACTTTAACACAACGTAGCAAGTCTTGAATTTTAAAAAAAAAATGACTGTATAAACCTTATTTTTTAAAAAAAAAAAGTCTATTTTCAAATTTTTCTTTATTCTAGGACATTCTTCTAATCCTTAACTATTTTTTTAAAACTGGAAAGAATATTATACCCTATAATTTCCTTAATTGCACTTTAAATATAATTGAATTGACCCACCCTGCTTGTCCAAATAACCGCGAATTACCTCTGTAAAATCTGAACTGCTAATAGACACAAACTCTAGTTACCAAAAGTCACATGCAGTTACAAATGGCATTGCTGTACAAGGCTGGCAGTAAACATTAATGTTGGCTCACAAAATACAGGCCTGCAATCTGAGAACTTCTGGATGGGACCTGATTCTTAGCAGGTTATGGCTGAAGAAGTTTAATCAAAACTTAATCCAGTCTAGACTGTGGGTCCTGTTCCTCATGCTATCAACTGCATCACAAATATTCAAGGAAAGGCTGGTATAAGAAGTCACTTTCTTGTTGAAATAGTGTGTATGTTTATGTACATATACCTATATGAATGATTTAAAGCTTACTAACTTAAGTTGCATGTCCAAGTTTTAAAAGGCTTGAGAGAATCTCTGTCGAGCCAGTAGTGACCAGGTCGTTCATAGAGAGTGCTCTGTGAAAATAGGGTCACATCATTTCTGCACAAAATAAAAAGTCACCAATATGAAATTTAGATAAGCCTATTTTCGCTAACAGTCACAACTTAGGGACTGGGCCTAGTTTTCCTTTACAGATTGTACTTTAAGAATCACATAAATAAGGGCAGGGAATTTAGGTCAGTGGTCAAGCACTTGCTTCACGCGTGTGAAGCCCTGGGTTCAATTCCCAGTAAAAAAGCTCCCTACACCCCAAAATCACATAAATAAAATTGAAGAAAAAATTATGTTCTATAAATTTTTCTAGATTTCAAGCACCCTCAATAACTTATAAATACTTATAAAAATCATATAATATAATCATAAATATTTCACATAGTTACATCGAACTAGTACAATCAACTAGCTTTTATGATTAACTAGATAAATTCAGTTACAACTACTGTATGTCACTCCAGGACTCACAAGCAATACACCAGTGTTTAGTTTAGTACTTGCCTATCAGAAGTCTCACAAACTCGAACTGTTCAACCCAGAAGAAAGGTCAAGTGACTGGTACCACTGAATCCACGTCTGGCACTCACGACTTACGGAGAGACTTCTGTCCCTGCTCACTGGACTGGTCACTGAAAGGGGACATGAACAGAACTGCAAATTGTTAGCACTGCCACCACAAGATTAGCAGCCATTTTCTGATTAATGCTAAATTCACGTGCGGCTCTTGATTTGCTGACTTTTTCTGCCGTCTGCACTCCGGCAGTCCACGAAGCTGTGCTTAGAATACACCTTTGAAATGCCTGGAACTAGGACAGAACCTTCATACTAATATAAAAATACAGATGCATAAAAAGAGGACACTAACACGAATTCTCTGAAGTAAACAAGGCAGAACTTTAGAGCTCAAAGGGGGCACCAGCTATTCTCTCTATCCCTTGCATTTTAGGATCTCACAATTGAGGCCAAGTCCAAGACGGAACTTCCTCAGAGATGCACACAGCTTTCACCCAAACTTTTCAACGGAGTTGCTGAGAACTGCTGAAGTCCTGATTCCTACTTTTTTATTTTATTTTATTTTTGGTTTTCGAGACAGGGTTTCTCTGTGGCTTTGGAGCCTGTCCTGGAACTAGCTCTGTAGACCAGGCTAACTGAAGGAAAGGTAACAGGTAGAGATATGCCAGACTGAAGAGTTTCAGCTCTTTAAACCCAACACAAATCACACAGGGCTATGAGCAGATTCCACATTTAGATAGGAGACTTAACACTAGTTTAACTTACTAACCAGTGAGCAGACAGAGCCACAGCGTCTGTGGTAGGTATATTTTAGGATATTAAATTGTATAAATCAATGCGCGGCCCACATTAACTGAGCATGCTTACATGTTAGTAGATACTACAGATAAAGCAGTATAAAAATCTGATTTGGTTGTTTATGATTATTTTCCAATTATATTTCCTTTTATCTCAAGTATTAAATTTGTATTCCCTGAGTACAAACTAGCTAAGAAAAAAGGACACCCAGAACTATATAAGTATCTTTGAAGACTTACTTGCATGACAGAGAGACTTCACTGTGCTAAATAAGCCACTTCCCTGGCACACAAGGACATATATTTCCGCTTAGCTTGGGCCCCTGGCTTCACTCTGTACATGACCAGAGGTTGCAAGGGGCTCTAAAATGGTTTCTTCATCCAAACAAAACTCTAATTTGTGAATGGTATGCTTTTCTCTCTCCCTGTAGACTTAATTTGAGACAGCTTCGATTTTAGTTTCCCAAATCAAAGTACTTAGAAAATGTTCAGTGGCCATGGAAGAATGAATTCAAACTGGCTCTCCATGGAGCCATACCAGCAAGTTACCGGTCTCTTATTCTTCTGGGTTTTCATAAGGAACCTTGTCTAAGACTTTCCAGTCATCCACTGAGTGAAGAAAAGAACAGAAGTTCTACCTTAAAACATCAGTCTTATTAAGAAACCCAAGCCGTGACACAAGCTGCGGGCTCTGGATAAGCATGCCCGCATGGTAAAGGGTGTGGCTCTACCTCAATCAGGCTGTCCACAGCAAGTGACAGGGAAGGAGTGCTGTCTGAAGTATCACAACCACGCCTGCTGTGGCACTCGGGGACAGCTGTTTTCCATACTTCCTAATGGGCTGTTCAGGCTTCTTTATTGTTTACATTGTGAAGCAGGGTCTTGATATCTATCTAGTCTAGTTTGGCCTCAAAGTATCTTCCTGCCTCATGCTCCCCAGTGGGATTACTGGTAAGCAACATCCTCAGCTGATGTTTTAAAACAGTAAACTAATTCGGGCAAAGTAGGGCCACACACAATTATGTGGCCTGCTTTTTCTGAACGAACTCATCAAAGATTTTAGTGCTGCTTCTGTAAGAAGCAGCACAGAACACAATGTTTTTCAAAATGAGTCCATGATATTTCTTTGTTTTAGGAAATACTATTTTAGAACAAGATGGAGTCCGTTTCCAGGACATAAATAAGGCCCACACCTATAACCTAACAGTAATTATCCCTAGGTTAGCCTGATGTTAACTCAGTACTTGCCATGTCCAGTGTTGATTAAAGTGTGGGAACTTTAAATTTGCAAAGCATTCTTTCCTTCTCTATTCCCAAGAGCAAAGAAAAAAAACTGTGCTAAGAAGCCGGGTGGTGGTGGCACACACCTTTAATACCAGCACTCGGGAGGCAGAGGCAGGCAGATCTCTGTGAATTCGAAGCCAGCCTGGTCTACAAGAGTTAGTTCCAGGACACAGCTAGGACTATTACACAGAGAAACTCAGCCTCAAAACAAAACAAACAAACAAACAAAAAACCTATGCTATGACAAAGTTCTAGCTTCTTTTTTGCTAGATGAGTCACCAAATTCTCTCTGCAAACCAATTTATTCTATCACCTAGACTCATAAAATAATTGTTTTGAAATGTTAAAAGAAAAGAAATAAAATGACCTTCACTTCTCCTGAAATTCAATAGGCAACTGTCAATCTGGGTATTAATAAACACTGGAACAAATAAGATAATAGTAAATAATTTTTAGTTCTCCACTAGCATCATAATTATTCAAACAAAGTAGTTTTGCTATGAGCGAGCTCCTAGCACCAAATTCACTAGACTAAGAGAGCATTCTGGCAACCTTGCTGCCTTCAAAACTGTTGAGGATATTGTAATTAGAGGTAAGGAATCCAATAATTTCCTTATTTCAAAGCCTCCCATTCATAATTAGAAAATATTATGAGCAGGTATTTCTCTCCCATACACACACACACACACACACACACACGGGTATGCACACATTTGGAGAAGTCAAAATTATGCCACATCCATAAAACACATTAGACAAAACAGGACTAAATATTGCTATTAAAATAACTACTAAAATTACCATCTATTGCCACAAGATGGCAATCTTTCAAAGATTAAAATCACAAGCTACCTTAATTGTACACCCTCCCTCTTTCTCAAATTGGAGAAAGGGTCCTTTAGATTTTGATACTGAAAACTGGAGTGATAAGTATTGACCATCATTTTCTAAAAGAACTATAAAATTATCTGATGTGATATGATGCAAACTCATGATTTCAAAGCTATTTAAAGACAGATAAACCTGTTTTCCGTGAACACATGAGAAACTTAGTTTCATAGGCTCATTGCTCTTCTTGGTAGACTGAAAATATACCATTTTTGGTAAAGAGAAACCTGTCAAGGCAATGCTTCTTTCATTTTCAAGAGCTTAATAGTTCCTAGGATAAATCAGGTCAATGATTTGTTAATCACAACATAAATACAATAAATGAATAAATATATTATTAAATTATACATAATTTAAAAATACTTTTACTAAAACAAAATATAATCAATTAACTTTATCCTGCTTTATATTGTTTTTATCTTAAATTAAAAAAACTTGCACAAAAAAGTTTGGTTCTTTTTGATTAAAAGCACTGATGTGTCAATACATACATGTATATATGTAAACAACACATATACTTATTCCAGGAGAAAATACTTTAAATGTTTAAGGCTTCCCTGTCCAATCAGGTTCAACAGTGAAGGTCACAGCAGATAAGGTTTGGAAGTACACTAAGGTCCTAAGGACAAAACAGGGTTTTGAACTAAAGACTAAAGAAAGGGAACAAAAGATTGAAAACCAATGAACAAAGACAATGGTTACTGAGGAAGGAGGTGGCATCAATAACAACTTAAACCTCAGGTGAATTAGTGAAGACGTCAGAAGGTCATAACCTCCTGGCCTCCCACCCCATGTGAGCCCTACCCCAGGCCCATAAACACAAAATAGAAGATCAGAATAGAATTTCCTTTAAGGGGTTGTTGGTATTTTGCCTCGTTTCATTTAACTGTGTACTATTTTTGCACGGTTTTGTCTTGCTTGGTGGTGGTGGGATTTAACTAGGGCCTTGTACAAATGTTGAAAAGTCTAGATACTGGGCACCTGTTCACAGAAACACAGTCTTTCTGGCTAATACTAGGCAGTATTTTCAGAAACCATTAAAAAGAATTTGGTTTCTCATATTTAGGGGGACAGGCTTTTCAGATTTCTATATTTAAATATTTGATCAGCACGTTCTATTTCTTGATCTTCTTGTGCAAGAAAACTGGGTGCCTAGATAGTCTAACACCTTTTGAAATTTAGAAAGCAAACTGGATTTTTGTGCACTACACATGAGGGAAGAAGGTACCACACCATTCCTAAATTAGCTGGTTCATCAGTGAAGGGTGCTCATCATGTGTAGTGAACTCACAAGTATGAATTAGCAAACATCAGCACTCATCCATTAAAGGTACTACCTATATTCAAATTTATCATAGGCACAGTAGAATAATAGAGTTCTAAAAGTAAACAAAGTGCCAGACTTCTGTGTTTCTGGTAATTTCAATACATGGCATGTCACCTGGGGATATTCACATCAATTCATATTGCAGAGTATGTAATACCCAAAAGTGAGATACTAATTTAAAGAGTATATGTGATTTTCACAGTGTAGTAACAGAAAGACAGAAACCAGTGGTAGATTATCAACGAGCTAAAGTAGTGATCAGACTGGCACACATTTCAAAAAAATCCATGGTGTGACTGCCCAGGCGGGGGGAAGCTGAAGACAAAGTGCTTCCAGTCAAAGAGCCAGAGAGGGAACCCGAGAGTGAGGGGTTCTCAGCTGTGGTGGAATCAAAGCTTGACCGTGGTCTGTGCAGGCCAGCAGCAGAACAGGACCGCTGAGGTGTTGAGGAACCAGACCTCTGCTCTACCACCTCATCTGAAAGATCAAAGAACAGTGAATGGAGCAAGTGCACTTGTCCAAGTGGTCCCTGAAGCTGCTGCACTGAGAATGGGAAGTAAAGGAATCTGAGCACGGGAGTTTAGTAAGGACTGTGATGTTCGGTGTTTGGAGTGGAGGAGACGCTATCTCGCCCTTCCCACAGCCATCACACGTTACCAACCAATCACTCACAACATTTCCACAGCTGATGCATCCCTAATCCTTCTCAACACAGGATGCAGCACTTCCACTGATGATGGAGGAAGGTCATTGGTTAAATAAAAAGAAACTGCTTGGCCCTCATTGGTTAGAAGATAGGTGGGAGGAGTAAACAGAACAGAACGCTGGGAGGAAGAGGAAGTGAGCTCAGTCTCGACAGCTCTCCTCCTGGGAGCAGACACCTGAGAGAGACGCCATGCCCTGCTCCTGGGCAGGCACACGCCATGAAGCTCCGACCCAGGTTGGACATAGGCAAGAATCTTCCCGGTAAGCGCACCTTGGGGTGCTACACACAGATGATTAGAAATGGGCTAAATTAATATGTGAGAATTAGCCTAGAAGAGAATGGGCCAAGCAGTGTTTAAATGAATACAGTTTGTGTGTTGTTATTTCGGGCATAACCTAGCAGTGCGGGCAGCTGGGGTGCTGGGGACGCAGCCCCGCCGCCGCCTTTATTACTACACACTGAAATGAAAGTGAGCATGCTGACATCTGAAGACAGCTTCCATCTTAGGCCATTTTCCATATTTAATTTCACCTACATTTTTGTTAGGTCTACTTTAAGAATTAGAGACCCCACCCACCATGTCTTTGAAATAATTGTGACAGCAGGTCAAATGGTGCCAAGTTTTACTTCTCAGAACTCATCCCTGCAAACCTCCTTACCATCAATGCTTTTAAAGTCTAAAAGATAGCTCCGATTGTCAACCAGGTAAAGCTGCAAGCTCATTTTCACATAAGTGCCAGTCACTGGATTTTTTCTTCTTACTCGAAGATGGTAGGCATTCACTACCTAAAACCAGAAATAAATAAAAACTTAAAACTACACATTGTCTCCCATCTTAGCAAAAAATAACAAAACCAAACATGGGTGAGAGAGGAGGATTTATGCTTGATTCTTCTATGTCACAAGTAATTCGGAATATTTAATCCCACTATCAATACCATTTGTAAAAGTTCAGATCCTATAGAGTCTAGCCTTTAACCCAGATATGGATCTGCTCTAGAGTATTAATAATGATCTTAGTAGCCTTTGCTTCAGTAGTTTTGATAAATAGGGAGCAGAAGGAATAACAGAGCTAAATATTAGTGGCTTGCTGTGGGATAATGCTCTTGTACACTGTAAAATTTGTTACTCATATTGGTTTAATAAAAAGCTGATTAGCCAGTAGCCAGGCAGGAAGTATAGGTGGGGCAACCAGACTAGGAGAATTCTGGGAAGAGGAAAGGCAGAGATGCAGTCACCAGCCAGACACAGAGGAAGCAAGATGAGAATGCCTTGCTGAGAAAAGCTACCAAGCCAATTGGCTAAACATAGACAAGAATTACGGGTTAATTTAAGTTATAAGAGCTAGCTAATAATAATCCTGAGTTAATAGGCCAAATAATTCATAATTAATATAACCTTCTGTGTGTTCCTTTGGGACTGAATGGCTGTGGGACTAAGGCAAGACAGAAACTTCTGCCTACAGTGGCTTAAATCAGGTAGAGTCATAAAACACCAACAGCATGATATCCCAAAAATAATGTAAAACTGCAGATCAAATGAAAAGATTCTGGGCTGGTGTGCGAAGTCCTTCTGTATATGTGTTGCTTTTATTGGTTAATGAATAAAGAAGCTGACTTGGTCTGTGATTGAGCAGAATAGAGCTAGGTGGGGGTGGGGGTGGGATTAGGGGGACAACTAAAGTGAATGCTGGGAGAAAGAAGGTGGAGTCAGGGAGAAGCATGTAGCCCTGCTGGAGACAAACACAGGATGGAACTTCACCCAGTAAGCCACAGCCATGTGGCAATACACAGAATAATGGAGATAGGTTAGTTTAGGATATAAGAGTTAGCCAGAAATATGCTTAAGCTATTGGCCAAACTGTATTACAAATAATATAGTTTCTGTGTGATAATGTAGGGTCAGGGCAGCTGGGAAAAAACTAACGGCTTCCATCAACACTTGGTTCTCAGAATGGGTTAGATTAGTTTCTAGATTCTTTCCCTGGATATGTTAAAATGTTGGCATCTCTTTTATTTACATGCTTATAAAGTGAGACAGAATCCAACACAGGGTCTTGAGTCCATAAAAATTCTCCTGCCTCAGGTTCTTGGAGTGCTAGTGTTTGTTACAGGCATGAGCCACTATGCCCAGCAAAATCTTATTTAACTAAATAAACTTGCTTCAGAAAAAGGAGATTGAATTTATTTAAGAAATGTTATCTTATTTAATCATGTAAAATAATGAAATGAAAACAAATTAAAATTGATTTATTAAAATGTATTGAATGTTTATGTGATAAATTTGGAATGTTTTTCCCTTTAATGGCTCACACACCAAAACCTTAAGTCATAGATCTGGAAAGGGACAAGTAGGGAAGAGCTGGGGACAGGCATATGAGAATAGAGAGTTGGGAGAATAGCAAGAATACTTTCCTTACATATATGAAATTGTTAAAGAACTATCTTAATTTCAAAACATTAAAATAGGCCAGTTAAAATGTCACATGACTTTAATCCCATCACTTGGAAGCAGAGGCAGGTGGATCTCTATGAGCTCCAGGACAGCCTAGTCTACAGAGTGAGTTCCAGGATAGCCACAGTTACACAGTGAGACCCTGTCCTGTCTTGTAAAAACAAAATAAGTAAAATAAAAAATTAAGTGTTCATCACCTTCAAGAAAAGAATAACAGTTGAAGGGATATCTTAAATTTTAAAAATGACCCCATATATATTCAAAGAGTTGAGCTGCAACAAAATGTTAACTTGAAAAAGTAAAATGTATGCTGATAGTAAGAAAATACACCATAATCAAGTGTGACAGTTAAAACTCAACAGCATTGGAACCATTAAAGACTACGGACCTTTGAAGTCATGCTGAATGCATTTCATACCATGAGATGGCCATGGTTGTGGGGAGAAGAGATGGAGGCTACAGATCTGAAATGGTATGGTCATGTATCAAGCTGACAGAGGAGGGCTTGTGATGGTTAATACTGTCAGTGTGACAAGGTCTACAATCAACTAGAAGACAAACCTCTGGGCATGTCTGTGAGAAATTTTTTAGATGGGGTAATCTGAAGTGGGAAAGTCTACTCTAAATGTGGGCAGCACTGTTTTATATGCTGGAGTCTGGATTGAGCACCAGCTTTCATGGCTTTCTGCTCGTGGCAGACGTCTGTCTCACCCCTGCCTCCATGGCTTCCTTCTGGGATGGACTATATCCTCAGGCTGGGAGTTTAAATAAACCCATCCTTCCTTAAGTTCCTTTGTCAGGGATTTTGTCCCAGCAGTGAGGAAAGAACTAGCAAACCAAGGATGAAAAACATCAGATAAGAGAATTTCTCAACTTGGAGAAATTGCTTGTTGGCAGAATGAACAGACCTGAGAACATAATATATATTGAATACTATCTGCCATAACCATCGACCATGTGTGCCAAAAAAGTATGAAAAGAAAACAAATACCCTGAAAAAGGTGAGAAGAAATTGCCTTTCAAGATTTCAGATTTCAGAAATGTTGCTATGATACAGGTGGGCTGTTTTCTCAGATAATTTTGATTACTTGGACAAGAATGCTATTCTGTAACTCAAAATATGTTCCCAGCATCAACAGTCCTTTAGCCTTTCTTTATTATGTTTTGATAGTGTCTTATCTAGTTTAGAAGAATGAACCGTTTCTATCAAAAACATGAAGTCCACTACAATTATTTCTAAATCAAAAACAACTTTATGTGGACCTCAATACTCAACTGCTTAGAAAACTTATATATAAAAAAAATTCTCTTCACACAACCTTAGTACATTGTGATTTCCTACCTTCCATTCAAAATCCAGCTGCTTCATAGCTCGGTACACTTCAGCCATAATATCATATGGTTTGCTCTGGCTTCGGATTCCAAGATGCCACTTGGCTTTTTTCACAGCTAAGGATTTGGGCTTAGTTGTGTTCAGTGCATCCAAAGGACACCGTGCTTTGGGGCTGTCTGCTATAAGAGGTGGCATCCTCTCAGGATGTGGTTTCAGGCCTGGGGGAATATGCATGGCACTGTCATCCATAAAAGAACCAGTTGGAGGACTAGAGGCGAGGTAGAACTCACTGGCTTGGTTCATTATTCTCCGATTGTCAATGATAAGATGATAAGCCACCGCAAGCTGGTCTTGAGGGTCACCACTATATAAACTGTTCATTACTTCTGATTCTGTACACTCAAATTTTTCACATACTTCTTTCACAGCCTCATCATCAATGACGTTAGCATCATAGGAGGGGTCTTCAGGAAATAGATAACTGGGCAAATCCTGTTTAAACCATTCATGTTCTCTAGGAAAAACACCATATACACTATTGTAAGAACATGCTTTAGTAAGTCCCGAATAATTTAGACATGGGGCAATATACACAAAGACTCCAAAAACCTGGTCTCCAGCGCCAGTTCTGCTGCTATTGGCTATGTGACCCTGGGGCCAGTTAATTCATCTCTAGCCTTAAATAAATATAGATATTCAGACTTGGAATATTTCCTTGAAAATGAACAAAGTGGGTCTGTCATTTCAAGGAAAACAACCAGCAACATTTATGGTCAGTGATAAAATCTGAGTTCCCAATCAAAATTCCAGATGCTGTGTAGTATTTTATGCCTGCCTCCTGGGGTTTGATGGTTTCTCAAGACCTAAAGATGTTCTGATGAAGTTGGTATGGATAATAATGAATATGATTTTTGATAGTGTAAAATGAAATGTAAGAAATCTGTATAGTTCAGTAATGTAAGATCTCTCAATGATATGACAGAAGTATGCAGACATATAAGAATCACTTAAAGTGTAAAACATTATATCCCTATAGTGTGATAAAGTACAGAAGTTAATTGATTTTTTTTCTCATTTGATATTGCAAACTATAAGCTGGCAGGTTAGGCTTTGTTTTAGTATCAAAGAATATTACTATTATCTGATAGCTATTAAGTACTCTTTTATTTTTCAGCCACTTGCCTGAGTTCAGATTTTCCTCAAGAACTTCAACTAATATAAAATATTGCAAGATTAGCCTGGTGGTGGTGGTGAACATCTTTAGTTCCAGCACTTGGGAGGCAGAGTCGGGTGAATCTCTGTGAGTTTGAGGCCAGCCTGGTCTATAAAGTGAGTTCCAAGACAGCCAGGGCTGTTACACAGAGAAACCCTGTCTTGAAAAACCCAAAATAAACAAAACTGCAAGATTAAATGAAGAATTTAATTGATAATTAGATTGATAATTTGATTAAACTAGACACTGAGAACATTTATAAAAGTGCATAGAGAGATTACTATTAGGCTTGGTGGTATACACTTATTATCCTAGCTCTTCAGAGGACGATCAGAAGAGTCTCAAGTTCAAGGCTTGCTTCAGCTACAAGAGAAATTAGTGAGACCTTATGTCAAATAAAATATAAAAGGAGATAGGGGAAGGGAACAGAGATGTAGCTCAGTGGTAGAGTGCTTGGCCTAGGAATTGCAAGACTCTAGATCAAATCCTTGAGGTTTTATTTGTTTGTTTGTTTAAGACATTTAAATGAACAGATTTTTAAATAAATTCAGTTCTAATTTTAATTATTATATGCTAACTACTGGTATATCATTCACTAAAAAATTATTTGAGGTCCTCAATATCAAAAAGGTAAAGAGATACTAAAACTTAAACTTTTCCATTTATAGGTAGTCCAGGCAGACCTTGAACTTGCTACATAGTAAAAGATGACCCTGAACTTCTAATCCTTTGCCTCACCTCCCCAGGGCTGGGATTATAGATGTGCAGCCCACACCCAGTTTATGCAGTGCTGGGGATCAAACTCGGGACTCTGTGAATAAGTATAAGCAGTATGAGAACTAAGTTACACCCACTGTCCTTGACAAACAGGACAGTGCACCATTAAATATAAGCCACACATGGCATATTTTAGTATGAAAATGCAGTCCTTAATTTAAAGTAACTTAGATAGAAACAACCAGGTATATAAATGAATCATGACATAACCTAAGTTTCAGTTTTATTATTGGAAAATGAGAATTATAACAGCTACCTATAAACAGTCAGTGCAACAGAACAGGTTAAATGTATAGTATAATGCTTGATATTAATCAACTGTCAAAAGTTTTAATTTTTATGCCTGTTGAAGTATACTTTATCAAATTAAAAATACTCATATTGAAATATCAAACATAAAATAGTGAGAACTATAACTCTAAGTTATTATTTTCAGTATAGAAATGTTGCCATTATTTTGTCCTTTTGGTTGTGAGCCTTAGCCTGTAATGATTAAGCCATCCTGCCAGTCCAGAATATCACGATTGTACAGCACTTTCTATGGGTCAATTAACTCACTTTAACAGATTCATTTGCATTTTTTCTTCTAAAGTCTGTAAATATATGAAAACTTATTTTGAAGTAACAGAATTAATCCTGTCACTATTATAAATTTACAAGGGCTCACATAAGGAAGTAAAAATATATTAGCATGTCTAATTTTTCTTCTGGACCCATTAGAAGAAGTATTTATCCCACAGAATTGTGAACAGAGGTCTCTCCCCTGTTGCTGCACTTCCATAACTGAATCTGGCAGCAATTCTACAGGTGTACATTCGTGTGCACGAGGCCTGGACACTGGGACAGGCCAGGGAAAGTAAACAACGCTGTGGTCTGAGTTGCAGGACACCCCCCACAGTGCCGGCATTAGGACCTGTGACTCCCAGCTAGTGCTGCTGCTTAGAAAGTCCATGAAATCTGTTAGGAGTTGGAGCTTCACTTAACAAAGAAGGTCACTGGATTAGGCCTCATAGCCCAGCACATTCCTATTGACTCTGCTTCCTGACTGCAGACACACGGCATTCCCCATGTCTGCAGTGATGCCTTCATCACCATAATGGACTACATCTCCCCAAGCATTGAACCAAATTAAATCCTTCCTCCCGTAAGCTGTTTCTTGCCAGGAGGAAAGAGATACCTAAATGTGTAAGTCCTTGCTTCCAAGAGAACTGCAGCAGCCAGCATAAACCACCACTTCAGCCGCCCTCTGAATGCTCCACAGGATACACATATCAAAACACTTATTCTGGCTCTGGGGGAAAGGGGAAAGTTTCTGAAAGATGCCAGAAGAATCTGCCTCTTAAACAAGCTTTGGAACCTAAGATAAAAACAAAAGCCCTCTAAAAACATACATGACACGTGGATGCATATCACGTCATCCCTCTAAAATCACACATAACATGTAGAGGCACTACATCACTTCTGCCAGTATGCTACTCAATCCCTCAACAATCAAGGGATTCTCCACAGTAAAAATCCACTCGTAACTATTGGATCAAAAATTTAACAAAACTTATATTCTCGAATAAACTTAGTAAGGTAACCATTAAGTGAAGCTCAGAAAGACAAAAACTCCACGTCCTCTCCTACTAAGATTCTAACTTCTAAATGATAGTGTGGTTAGAAGCCAGGAAACAGAAAGGGGCCTGTGAGACAAAAGAAAGGTGGGGATGGAAACCAAACATCTGAAACATAAAGGGGGCAGGGGAAAATATGGGGGCAGAAGGGTACAGTGAAAAAAGTGACGGCGGGGGATGTAGAAAAGTGGGGGAGGGGTGGAAGAGAAGGCATGCATCTGAATTGAACATGGTCAAATATGTATCATGCTTCTGTATTTATATAGCATTTTCATTGTACTAGATACTATAAATTTAAAGAAGGTAAGCCAGTTTTATAGTGGTAAGGATTTAAAAAGGCAATCCTTTATTTACTTCATCAACCATATCTAAAACACAAAGTTCTCCAATTTTCACAATTGAATCTTCAGATCCCTCTTGAAGTTCTACTCTCAGCAGTAGTAGTAAAGTAGCAGGTGAATAGAAGGGTTCTTAATGATGTGGGAAGTGATGCATGCTGGGAATATGTCTACTGCCATTGGTTAATAAAGAAGCTGCTTTTGGCCAATGGCTTAACAGAGTAAAGCCAGGCTGAAAGAGATATAGAGAGAGAGAGTAGGCGGAGTCAGTGAGATGCCATGTAGCCGCCAGAGGGGAAAGACACAAGCTTCCAGCTGGAACCTTGCAGGTAGGCCATGAGCCTCGTGGTGAAATATAAAATAAGAGAAATGGGTTAATTATAGATGTAAGAGCTAGCTAGTAATACGCTCAACCTATTTGGAAATAATATAGTTTCTGAGTGATTATTTTGTGGTCTGGGCAGCCGGGAACAAACAAGCTGCCTCTACCTACATCTTAAGACAATTTGTACCCCAATAGTTATAATGCAAGAGAGGCGATAGGCTGAGACAGGACAGACACAGTATGAGAACAGGGGGACAAGGCATGTGTTCAGGTATGTGCTGAACAACTAGAAGCTCTATACAGTGTGGGGAACCAGAAATGATTTCACTAAGCTGGTGGTGTGTGAGCAGAACATAAAAGAGGACTGGAATGCTATCAGGTCAGAAGATGCAGAAAAGAATCAGGATACAAAACAATCTAATGAAGAATGCAGGCACCGGGCGGTGGTGGCGCACGCCTTTAATCCCAGCACTCGGGAGGCAGAGGCAGGCGGATCTCTATGAGTTCGAGACCAGCCTGGTCTACAAGAGCTAGTTCCAGGACAGGCTCCAAAATCACAGAGAAACCCTGTCTCGAAAAACCAAAAAAAAAAAAAGAATGCAGGCCCTAAAGTCTAATGGGAAGGATGCAGTGGGGAAGGAATGAGACTCTAGGAGACTGCATCCTTCCTATACAGGCCTTAGATGCTTTGTTACTTATGCTAATAAGCACAAAAGCAATGTAAAATATTTGAAAGATAAGTGACATAATCAGGTTTGCATAATAAGTTCAAATACTAAAAATGCTTTTCCTTTGAGACAGCCTTGAACTTGAGATACTCCTGAATCACCCTCCTAGGTAAATGCTGGGATGACAAGCACACACCACACATTTGGCCTCAAAATTCTCATAAGATAAAGTGTCATGAAGCATAGGTGAAGCAAATATCCTAGTATCATCACTGTTACTACAATAAGAAAATATACAGAACTGCAAACAGTATAATCACCGGATGTCCTTGATAGTTGCTCGCTTCAAGGGGTCCACCTGGAGCATGTGCATCAGCAGAGTGGCAACAGAGCGGTTGAGATATTCCGGGATATAAAACACACCCCCTCGGATCTTCTTAAAGAGTGTAGGCACGTGCTCATCGTCGAAGGGGAGGGTGCCACAGAGAAGGGCATACAGGATAACGCCACAGCTCCAGATATCAACCTCGGGACCCGCATACAGCCTGAGAAAGGATGACACAAGCTCAGTGTAGGCACCAATTCCCCCATTGTTAATGTCCTGCTTCCGTACATGCAAAATGCAAACCAACTTGGTATATACTGCTATTTAAGGTTTTCAATGAAATACACAGCAATTCCCAAACCTCAATAATTACTCTTCATAGAAAATAATGAGCCTAATTAGTTACTAAAATTTGCCAAAAGACTTATTTTTGTTAGAAATTAATTATAAGTGCTAATTAAAATTTATTAGATTTTCAGGCCAGACATGATGGCACATGCCTTTAATCCCAGCAGTTGGGAGGCAAATGCAGGCGGATCTCTGTGAGTTCAAGGCCAGCCTGGTCCCAAGCCATTTAGCATAAGACTCTGTCTCAAAAACAAACCAACTAATAAAAATAAATTACACTTTCTCTTTCATTTCTTTAAGTAAACCTAACAGTAGATAACCAAAAACTAGAAAAAAATACAATAATATATACAGTGTTTTCCCCCTCAGAACTATTTCAAAAACGAAAATGCATACTGGACAAAATTTTTGCTCCTAGTGTAGTGCCGTTCTGTTGTATTAGGAGCAGCGGGGCTGCGTCCCCAGCACCCCGGCCGCCTGGCTAGCTTATGCCCTGAAATAACAACACACAAACTGTATTCATTTAAACACTGCTTGGCCCATTTCTATCTAGCCTCTTCTAGGCTAATTCTCACATATTAATTTAGCCCATTTCTAATCATCTGTGTTGCACCCCAAGGTGCGCTTACCGGGAAGATTCTAGCCTACGTCCATCCTGGGTCGGAGCTGAATCGTGTCTGCCCGGGAGAGCGGAGCATGGCGTCTCTGTCTGAGGCGTCTTACCTCACTTCCTCTTCCTCCCAGCATTCTGTTCTGTTTACTCCACCCACCTATGTTCTAAGCTATGAGCCCAAGCAGTTTGTTTATTACTTAACCAAAGAAATCAACAGATTGATATATGACACTCCCACATCATCCTAGTCTACACCAAACAAAATCTGAGACATTGAAATATTTAAATGGTAGCATACTGACAGTGTTTAACTTATATAACATTAACTTTTCTAAAAAAATTATTTTTAAATTTTATTTTTATGTATATGAGTGTGTTGATTGCATGTGTGTCTGTGTGGTATTTGTGGGTCTGATATTTGTAGCAGCCAGAAGAGGGTGTCAGAGTCCCCAGAATGGGAGTTACAGGCAGTTTCAAGCCCTGATGTGAGTACCTGAAATCAAACATGGGTCCTCTGAAGAGGAGCAAGTGTTCCTAAGCACTGAGCCATCTGCCCAGGTCCTATATGACAGAGCTTTAACTACTTCCTTTCAAACCATCTGCTAACTGGGTGGACTAAGACAGTTTGGCTCTAGATGACCCATGTCTGCACACACACACATCCCTCACTATTTCTCTAACCTTGCTACCATCCTGCCATTCCCCAGTAGCATATCAACAGTCAAACATGGGTCCGAGGTAACACATTTCCTCAGTTCCATGGAAAGCACACGATCTGCTTCAGTAGAGGATGTCCCTAATTTACATCATTAGCTGTATCACCTAAGCGCTCATAAAACACTTGTGTTCCCTAAAATCCACCAGCTGAAATTCTCACCTCAAACCGACAATCTGAGGAGGTAAAGATCATAAGGAGATCTGGCCTTGAGGTGGAACTCTCACAAAGAAGGTCGGTGCCCTTATAAAAGACTACCCTAGAGAGACCCCATTCCCCTGTGACCACAGGGCTTAAAGCTGGAAGACAGTGTCTGTGAGGACCAGGCTCTACACACACCCAATCCTGTGTGTCCAGAGCTCCAGGACAGACTGCTCTCGTTTCTATGGCAAGGTGTATGGTCTGATCTGAGGAACTAATACTCACAGCTGCTACCTGTAAGCACTGTTTCAATACTTTCTCTCAAAGTAGTCTGTTAACTCTCAAAACTGGACACCAGCCACTGTGGAATGGCTTGATTCATCTCTACAGCCTCCGTAAATATTTTATGATATACCAATGAGCTAATTACGTGAGGGACTTCAAAGTTGCTTGTCTAGTTTAACTGCTTAAAATAATACTGTCACCCAAATTTCTTTCTTCCAAAGGAAAAAATATAAAACAACCACCTTCAGACTCTGTAAAGTATGTGGAAATACTATTAGAATACTATGTCTATTAAGCAAAGATACTGACTTAAATTTTAGCAAATCCTATTGCTACTTGACATTTTCTACATTAGAATATAGACACTGCATCAGATCTGTCTCAGTCATTGACACTGAACAAAATGCATGAACACATTACAATGCCTACATGAAGTTTTTAAAATATATATATATATATATATATAATGCCTATAATAAAAATAAATGAACAATTTATTTCTACTATGTTAAAAATCTTCCTAAGAAAATATAAGCAAATGCTATTAGAATGGATGCAAGGTCACAGAAAGCTTACTTATCACTAATAAGCTATTACCTTCCTGAGATGACCTCAGGTGCTGCATAATTTGGTGATCCACAGCTGGTTCGCAGAAACTCACCATCTGACATCATATTAGATAGTCCTGAAAAGAAAAGCAATTTATCAGATGCTGGATACTGAAGACATGGGTAAAACTGTGATGAAAACCATGCTTCAGAAATCTTCTTTATTTTAGAGCAAAGGTGAGAGGCAAGATAGCTCAGTAGGCCAAGACGCTTGAGCAAAGCTGACAACCTGAGTTCAATTCCTGGATTGCATACACACACATACACACACACACACACACACACACACACACACACACCACACACATTAATGTTTAAAGTAACAGAAAGTACTGTTAGACTAGAAAGAGATTATTTTATGGAACTTACATCATCACACAGAAAAGAAAAAAAGCACCACATGCAATAAGTGGAATAAACCTCACTACATGAAAATTCTGACTCTTCACAAAAAGGTTATTTGACATTATTTTACCATTTTCAAAAACATTAGCACCAAATATTATCTACGTTTGTATATGAAGAAATAAAAGACTGCTAATTAAAGCAAACAAAAAACAGTGCTTCTAAAAGTCTTCCCTGAAGGGTTGTAATTGGGCACTACATCTTTAATTCCAGCGCTCAGGAGGCAGAGGCAGGTGGGTGGATCTCTGTGAGTTTGAAGCCAGCCTGCTCTACAAGAGTAAGTTCCTGGCCAGTCAGAGAGACACAATGAAAGCCTCTCTCTCTCTCTCTCTCTCTCTCTCTCTCTCTCTCTCTCTCTCTGACAGCAGAGCAGCTCCAGCTGATAAGCAGGCTGTTTCCCTGGAGACAGGGTCTCATTGCTGTTCAGGTGGGGCAGAGCACAAACAGGAGGGCCTCCTGCTTCAACTTCCTGGAAAAGTTTTATAATCTAAAGAGCTCTGGTTCAACACAGCAGAAATAATCTACCGAGCCAAACTCTAGCTGAACCATTTACTAGAAGAGTTTGAACCGAAATAGTGAGGCTAGCTTAACAGCACGTATAAAACAAACAGAAAACCTATATATAATATGGAACACTGACTTTGCACCTCCCCTCCCTTTCTTCTTAGGGTCAGATCACAGTCTTTTCCTCAAACATCCACTGTGGAAGCCTTTCTGCATCTGTTTAGTTTAAGGAGTATAAAAACATACATTTTACCTTGTCTTTTACGAGGACCAAAGTCCCAATCTCTCATAAGTTATTAGATGTTGTCCTAAGATTTACAGGTCTTTCCATGATCAGTTCAGAAGGAGCACCAAGATTTTACGGCTGAATACAAATTTTCACACTTGTTTATATACATCAGGGAAAGCAGCCACTATATCAACAAAGTTTCAAAGAAGTTTGGGACTCCTTTCTCATCCCAGCTGCTCCCCCACCCAAAAGAAAACCCAAAAAACAAAACAGGTATCATTCATTAGGAAGAAAGATCTGTCTTGATGTGGCCTTCTAATGTGTTGTAGAAACCTCAGCACTTTTCATGTGGATTTAAATAAAGAGATAAGCCAGAGTAAAGACTGTAATTAATCCCTTTTTGTGTAACAGAATTTGTGTGAGTGAAACGGAAAGTTCTTAGCTCTGTAAGAGGAGTTACTGGTCCATTTTAAAGGTACTACACAGCTCTGAGCAACCATGGAGTAGCATACCAAAGTCAGCAATCTTAGCATTCATCTGAGCATCCAGAAGCACATTTTCTGGTTTCAGGTCCCGATGGACAACCATATGCCTGTGACAGTAATCCACAGCAGACAGGATCTGCTGAAAGAGCCGCCGGGCTTCCACCTCTTCAACCTAGCACATAGAAAAGAAACTGCATCAAGACTATCTGGGACATCTATTTATTATGCATTCAGTTTCATAACCAGTCTAAATATAACTAAGCAGGCTAATTTAGAATTGACTAGTTAGAACAAATCAGACAAAGCAAACCAGCCAAAACTTTGTCAAAGCTCAAAATATTATTCGATAGATTTGGCTTTGCTAAATGGCAACAATGTCTAATTTTCAACTAATATTAAATATGCACAATGTTTTAGGGAATCAATACAACCAGCTAAAACAGAACTTAAATGAAAATGCTAAGAAAAGGAAATAACTGAAGCTTCAGCATGATTTTATGCAGAACAGACTGGGAAAAGCACAAGAACCTTTTGGCGATTAAGTGGGATATGGTTTCCAAATCTGTATCTCAAAAGGCTGCCTCTGGAGGAAGAAAATATGTTCTGCATGTGCAGTTGATATTATTACAGAAACAATTTAAAGCACTGAAAATTATCTTTGTGGTTGGCTTGCAATGCTTTCCCCTTTCTTAGCTCCAGGCTGGGGGTTGTTAATACAGTACTCACCCGCCCATGTTTACAGATGTAGTCGAATAATTCACCTCCAGACACATATTCCATCACCATAAAAAAGTCTGTTGGGGTGCTGATCACCTGATATCTTTTTCACAAACAAAAAAGGATGTTAATACAAAGCTGTGCTTCCACAACAATCAACTTCATCTACTATTCTTGCTACAATTTCATATTCCAATATTGTATAATACTGTAGAATGGCAACAGATTTACAATGATTACCAACTAATCCGAGAACCATAAGCATGGAAGAACATTATAAAAGTATCTGACTTCCTGCGACTTGTAGACTTCCCTTCAGATTTCTGCTTTTCAGATTGCTGTTATCTCTGAAATCTTCACAAGCTATACTGAGAAAATACATCGTGTGTAAATTAACCACATGAAAAAAGTTCATTAAACAGATGAGTGACGAATCTTCACAGTGTACAAGAGGATTAGCCCACGGCAAATATTTCTGTCCTGGGTTTTTCTGTCCTTGAGATAAATGCTCATCATATAGAATCTAGGCTTGCCTCAAACTCATTATCTTCCTACCTTAACTCCCACATTCTGGAATTACAGGTGTATACCACGTTATCTGGCCTGGAAAACATTTCTGATTGTAATCTTTATTCTTCAAGGACACAAATGTAAAGCAAATGACCATAACAGAAATAAAGTTGAGACTACACAAACTGTGGAAAGATAATTTTATTTAGGAACTCTTAAAAGAAATAGTTTGAAGAAGGCTATTTTGACAGGCATCAAAGTGATCAAACAAATCGGGTAGAGTAGGTGAAAGCGTCTACTGTTATCGAACTCATGTTTTCTGATTTTATTATTGTTACCAATCACATTTGTGCTTATCCATTCTGGATGAAGCAGGAATGAAATGATGAAATCAAATAATCTTAGCTGCAGGTCCTTTGGAATATACCACAAATCTTCACAGAATACTGCTGGGCTGAATTATCTCATGAAGCCTCTAACTCCACAGCATACACCATCACACACTAAATTATAGCACAAAAACTAGCTACCACGGCTGAGCCCTCACTATGTGCCAGGCATAGCCAACCAAATAAGGACTCTTAACTTACTCAATATTTCCTTGTTCTGTCCTTGTGTGAGACTAGAAGCAGTCAGATCCTCTCTTGGGAGAACTTGCAATCTAGTTGCAGTTAGGCACCGAATAAGGATTCTCTTCAGACACACATCTGAGCTTCAGGGCCAGAAGTTTTCTATCTCTCTTAAGGTTCCAATTAATCAGGCCCCCTCTGTTATTTCTCAAATACAGTTCCCACAATTGTGGCCCCACTACTTTTTATTAATCATGCTCTACTCCCCCACTACAGCTTCTTTATACAGGCTGGTTCTACTGGTGTGCCTCCCTTTGAGGTACATCCTTTAGTACCTCCCCTTCAGACAACCTTCGGGATTTAGCTTACAGGCCACCTTCTGAGTGGCAATTTACTTGCACGCACATCTTTACCTATGCTTTACAACACATACCTATCAGTTTGTAATTGCATGCTTTATAATGGTGATAATTGGATTAATGAGTTTGCATCTGGCAAAGTACTTACAAACTATTTAAATTAATGAATAAATTACTTTAAAATATAAGTAATTTGGATCAATACTAGAATAATCTAAAAGTTTAAAAAAACGCAAAATTTCAACCAATAAAATTTTAATTAACAACGAGTAACAATTTCTGGAAAAAGAAGAGCCCTAGGAAAACAGCTTCATATTTGAGAATTGGCAGGAAAGGCAAATTGATGGATTATTAAAAGGTAACTTCTAATAATTATAAAAATATTTTAAGAAATATAATGACAACTAGTCATTCACATATAACAGCAGTCTTTTAATGTAACAGAAATGCAAAATACTATGCTTTAGGAAATTTTTCAGAAACATTATTAATTATGGAAGGAAAAAGCAATTATCCAGACAATCCCTAAGCAATGTCCAGCTGGTAAGGTCACATACATTTTTATGCAATAAACACACAAAGTAGCATATATGACTCAAGGAAAACAGTAATCTTTCTGGAGTGACCCAAAAATCAGCATTAATGCACATCCCTGTTTGGTGGTCATATCTATTAAGATTTTAAAATATTATTTATATTGTCAAGTTATATAGAGTAAGATTTCATCAATTTTAACTCAGTTGTATAAATTGTAGTAATCATTATCTTGGACTGCTGACACTCATTTTCTTTGGTTTATGAATGGCCTTTTCTTTTGCTGATTGCTGTTTTCAATAAAATCCCAATAAGTAATACAAAACCATCATCCAGACAGTAAAGCAGGGCCTTGCCAATCTCTCCCATATAACCACAGAGAGCCCCTCCCTACTTCCCCTTGCTCTTCTCCAAGAGAGTCACTGTCCTGAACCCTGTGCAGCCTTCTCTTGCTTTCTTTTTCGTTTTATTTTGCTATATCAAAATATACATACATGTTTATGTTTCTATTTAATAGTGATTCATATTCTTGTATCTATCTTAATGGTTTTAGATTTAAAATGGTATATATCATGTAATGCTGGGGAATTTGTTTGAGAATCAGTCAATACTGCTGTGTGCTACAGCTGTGTGATATGACTAGTATATAATATCCACCATATTTGTTTACCTATCTTTTATTACCAGAGTCCCTTATTCATCTCTCTACCAAGGAAGATTACTGAGCCTATTTCTACAATTCTGTGTGCTGCTTGAACACTTTTGTACAACACTTTTGTATCTTTCTCTTGATAAATACTGATGACTTGAATTTCCAAGTTACAGTACATGTAAATGCTCAATTTCAGGTGACAGTTGTTTTCTAAAAATTGTTATGCTAACATAACTAGAAAGCTTGTGGAATCATACAATATCTAGTATTTGCAAAATATCATACATATTTCTTCTCCAAGAAATGCTTGAGTTTTCTGGAAAATTTTATTGGGTTAGTAGTGTTGTTCTTATTTATACATGGACATTAAAATTAATATTTCCATAATAGTCTAGAAAATAGGATAAATATGTTCTAATTACTAACTTTATAAAGCATATTTTTTCATCACCAAATCACAATAAATTTGCTTTCATTTTTCTCAGCAATGGATATTTCTTTTATTTTTTGTTTTGTTTTATTTTTAATAAATTTTAACCTACCTAACTACCTCCCACCCACTCGATTCTCACTGTCGCTTCCCATGCCTGCTGCCTTAACAGGGCAGAGACAGCCCTCACCCTACGCAGGAAGTTGGTTCTGCAGCTCTCTGCCCCATGCCCTGAATATTTCTTAAAATGTAATTATACATGGATATATGCATGCATATGCACAGAATGTAAAATCACTATCAGACAGACATTTAGAAAACCACGAGCATCATCAAATACCCTATCATTAGGGTTTATTTTCTTTAAGAATTAGATCTATTTGCCAGCCATACATTTCAATTGGTTGATTTGTCTGTTTTATAGATTGCTCATAGTTTGCTTTTTCCAGAGGAAATCAGGTGGTTTGTCCTAAAGAGAACACCTTCTATTCCTCCCACTGCTCCTAACTCTTAAGAGTTGGAGGACTGATCAGATTTTCATTTCGTCTGTTTATCTTAAAGAGGACATCATACCAGAAACCTCTTGCCAAAGAAACAATGTCTCTCTTTCTGAAATACAAGTAGCCATTGCTACTTAGAGCATAGATTCATCGATTCACTAATTGAATATTAAATTATATCTTTTTTATGTATGTGGGCATTTGTCTGCATGTATATCTGCACACCAGAAGAGGGTATCAGAATCCACAGCACTAGAGTTATAGACGGTTGTGAGACAATGTGGGTGCTGAAAACTGAACCCAAGAGTTCTTAACCACTGAGCCATCGCTCTAGTCCTTTAAATTAAATCTTAAGTGGTGAATGTTTCAACAATCTAGCAATAAAATGTGGTGCAAAAGATATGTTCAGTCCAATATTCCTCAGAGTCTTAAGTTCAAGGTCACTACCTAGCAAGTTCAAGGTCATCTTGTGCTATATAGTAAGACCAGGCCTCAAAACAAACGAAGGAAATCAAACAAAAACCTGCAGTCTCTGTAGCATACACTCTTGTAACACAGTACCACACAATGATCTCCTGGCTACTTTCTCTCATTCTAAACCATCCTTTTCCTCACTGCTACTGGTTGTACTGGGGGCATAGGTGTCACCGATTTATGACATCTGTCTAACAGCCTCTAGGTTTCTAGACTGCTCATTTCTAATTATCTTTCCTCCCACTACACACAGACAACATCGCTATGGACATAGATTTTCTAAGATTAACTCTCCAATTATGTACTGAATGCTGTCCCCAAACCTGCTAAGGAACGTAGCTCCTACAATTAGCCCCCTTTCTCCTGCCTTTAGGCTGTACATTCTCTTCTGCTCCCCTTTGTGGAGGAGGCCTACTCAAGTACTTGTATTCACTGGCCCACCGGATGGCCCGTCTGGACCTAGATTTGCAGTTCTTGCCTCAATCTAGGTATACCTGATTCAGTCTTAGATTTCAACCAACTCTCCTCAGCAACAGCTCCATCTGGGCAGCCAGGTTGGGTTCCTTTGTCTTTATTAATAAAGACTCCATTCGCATTTCTATTAGCACAACTTTAAAACTCTAGAACTCTCTAGTGGCCTCTACGTTGTAGTCATTCTACAAACCACATATATATACACACACAAGGGGTATTTATTGTGTACCAGTATGAGGTGAAAGTCAATATGGATGATTAAGATTAGAATAGAAGAACAGCCAGGCACTTGGGAGGCAGAGGGAGGTGGATCTCTGTAAATTTGATGCTAGCCTGGTCTACAGAGTGAGTTCTAGGACAGGCAGAGATACACAGAGAAACTCTGTCTAGGAAAAAAAAAAAAAACAAACATATATTAGCCTCAACCAGATTATCAAAACCAGATAGTGTTGTCTGGCAAACTGCTGCCACTGAAGGGGCTGTGCTTAGTGAATTTATTGTTATGTAATAATGTTGCCAAGTGAAAAGACACGAAGTGTCCATCTAGGTCTCTGGAATAGCAAGGTAAAGACACTGTCTCGTTTATGAACTATTTCACTTG